TGACTGAGCCACCCAGGCACCCCAGTTGCATTCATTTATTTTGAAAACTTTACTTTCCATTTATTGCTATTATATGGAAAGTTATTGTTACAAATTTACCTCACATCCTGAGACTCTTCTTGAATCATTTTATTAATTTTAATGGAATTTTTTGTAGTTTTTTAGTTAATGTGAAGATCATGTTGAGAATAATCTCATTGTCAGCTAAATTTTACCTTGCCTTTACAATGAGGGATGGGAATTGGGGAACTAAAGTAAGATTTTGAAAACCTGCTTTTGGAGGTAGAATTAAATTTCACATCTATTCTAGAGACAGTTAATTATTTTAGATTCTAATAGTTATATGTGTATCATATGTGAGGCAAGCTTGTTTTTTTAGATGTTTTTGAGATTTAATATCAGAGCAGTGCATAGTTATATTGTAATCTGGAAGACTCACTTTTGGACAGAACAATGGATTGAAAAATTTCTCAAATGTTTGATTCTCTGCATTGGTACTAATTAGTGGTTATATTCTACATATATTTAGATATTTGGACTATTAGTTTCTATTGATACCACAAGCCAACACACATAAAGCTAGAAAAACAAAAAAAGGCAAGACAATTTAAAGGGTTGACTTTCTGGATCAACAAAATCAGTAGGTTATATGTTGTACATGTCTATATTGATTTAATGAAACCTGGTAGTAATCTCCTTTTTTACTCCCCACAAAAAGAAATCACCAGGTCCACTTTTCCTCTTGAATATCTATGAAATCTACCCCTCCCTATCCTTACCACCACTGCTTTAAATTAGGTCTTGGTCATCTCTTGCTAAAGCTTTGTAATAGCCCCCAAATTAATTTCTCTAATGTCTTACTCCTCCAGGCTATATTTCTCACAGCTACTCACTAGTCTGTCTAAAAGACAAACTTGATCATCTTATTTCCTTGCATAAAATCTTTATAGTTTCGGGGTGCCTAGTTGGCTCAGTCATTTAAGCAGCCGGCTCTCGATTTTGGCTCAGTTGATCTCGGGGTCACGGGAAGTCTGTTTGGGATTCTCCCCCTCTCCCTCTGCCCCTCCCCACCCCATGCTCACTCATTCTCTCTCTAAAATGAGTCAATAATCTTTAAGAAAAAAGATTATAGTTTCAACATCTCCTGGAAAGCAAGGTCTAATCCTTAACATGGCATACGAGGCCTTCCCAAAAAGGCAGCCTGGGCTAGTGGTTAGGAGAATGAGTCCTAGAACCAGACTGCTTGGGTTTGAAGACAGGTTCTGCTCCTATTAGCTGTGTGGCCTTAACTAAATATTTACAACAGCCTACAAAATGGGTAGCTTTTATTAATATTATATCGGTTCTCCTGTACTTACTTTCTGACTGCTTTGCAGTTACTCAAGGGCATTTTGCAGTTTTGTTTCTCTGTTTGTTTTTTAACTGCTGGATCTTTCAGGGTATGAATGTGTGTTTTTCAGAACTGATGAGGACCTTCATATCATACAATTTCCTGACAGACACAGCGTGCTCTCTCCCTGATCTTTTCTAAACTCCATTCTACTCAGCTCCTGCCTTTGGCATAATATCCCCAATCCTCTCACTGATTGGGGATCTTGACCTGGACTCACCCAGACTGTCTGGGAACAACAACAAGGCACCTCAAGCCCAGCTTTCTTTCATGGGGCAACATGGAAAAGGCAAATAGCTAGCTTTGAATTTAGCTATATGGCCGTCACACCAGGACACTGGGGTAGAAGGAGACAGGATGTGAAGGATGAAAATATCATTCAGGGCCACAAAGGGAATGGATAGAGGAACCAAAGAAGGCACCAATCTCGATAGCATAAGGTGGAGCCCAATAAAGACTATTCCAATTTTTGTAAAGATTTTATTTATTTGACAGAGTGGGAGAGAGCACAAGCAGGGGGAGGGGCAGAGGGAGAAGCAGTCTCACCACTGTGCAGGGAGCCTGATGAGGGACTCGATCCCAGGACCCTGGGATCATGACGTGAGCCAAAGGCAGATGCTTAACCGACTGAGCCACCCAGGCATCCCTATTCCAATTTTCTTTTAATATTCCATATTTTAATTCTAGTCAGTAATGTTCAATTCAGCTTAACATCCAGAAATTGTTCAAAGTAGAATTTTACATTTTCAACTTAAAAACAAACTTTTATGACCTAATTAAGGTATAATGATCTACTCGATCATGTATTATGAAGGTGATGATAAGTGTTAAATAAGGCTTTTGATTGGCATTAACTCTGTGGGGTGTTTATTTAAAGTGACCATACACTTTGGTGGGTTTGGGTAAATATTGGTTCTTGCTACATGGTGAGAACTGACAAGGGATAACACCATAATGGAGACAAAACCAGTCTGAAAGACTCAGGCTCACATAACACAGTTGGTCCTTCTGCATCAGAAACTTTTATTCTTTGGACTTGCACAATTATCTGGTTTACATTTGATATATTTCATCATCACTGTGTGAGGTGTTGCCCTTGCTGTGTATGCTCTACTTGTATTTTTTAAAGTTATTTCAAGGGATTGTTTGGACACTACAGGTCATATGAGAGTATGTTGACCTCTGTACATCCACATTGCAAGGTAGACTCATTACCTTTGCAGATGTAATGACACCTCAAAGTATCAAGAGGTGTGCAGTCTATTTAAGTGATAAGAGCAAGACACTGTCATCCACTGTATGTACAACAGAGTACAATGCTTAGTCTTGGGTGGGTTAAAAGAAAGATAAGAGAATGGATTACAGTTTTGTTCAAGTATTAGAATAAAGCTACTACCTCATACACCTAATGGCAATGACTAATTGCAGCAAGGTACTTTTTGCAAAGTCTACCTGAATAAAGGCTTAACTATAGCAAACTTAGGACTTTTCTATGTAATTGGTAAATTATTTTTATCTTTTGTGTTTAGAAATCAGCAGATGGTTTTCATTTTATTTCGTAGCAACTGAATGACTAGCTTCATGCTTTCTCCTATTCTGAAACTATTTTTTCTAGCACTTATCTTAAAAGCAACTCTGGTTCTAGCAAGCTAAAAAAAATTAGATATCTTAAAAAAAATTGTGATAAAGTGTTTTTTTTCCCCAAATTAAGCAACACCTGGTGTGATTTAAAGCTGACTCTGTAGTTTTCAGCCCCCATATTAAAAATCATTTAGCGGGGTGCCTGGGGGCTCAGTTGGATAAGTGTCTGTCTTTGGCTTAGGTCATGATCCCAGGACCCTGGGATCGAGCGCCGCATCAGGCTCTCTGCTAGGCAGGGTAGTCTGCTTCTCCCTCTCCCTCTGCCCCTGCTTGTGTTCTCTCTCTCATTCACTCTCTCTCTCAAATAAATAAGTATAATCTTTAAAAAAATTTAAAAAAAGATAAAAACCATTTAGAATAGTGAGAGATATATGAGAATGTAAGTGAGAAAATCTTATGTCACATCTGCATTATTTACAAGGCTGGGGGAAAGTTTGTTTTGAATAAAGTATAATGGTTAAAGGACAACTTTAACAATAAAAGTTATTGTTATTGCTCTCTTTTTGGCAGATAAAATGAAATCTTGGTAATTAATAATAAGTTTATAATTTGAAAATTATTCCTGATAATAAAATAAGAAAAAGCACCAAGTGGCATTTTTTGGTATACTTACTGAATGACAGATAATTACAAATATTTAGATAAAGAACATGAAATAATTGGTAAAATATATAAAATGCCCAGTCTCTGGAACCAGAGCATTAGGTTCAAATTTAAATACTGACACTTAAACTAGTCATGGGACTTTGATTGAGTTGCCTCACCTTTCTTTGCCAATTTCTCTGTCCATGAAAGGTGGGTCATAATAGTACCTACCTTACAGGGTGTTATGTGGGGGGCTGGAGGGGGAGTCCCCAAGACCACCTTCAGGCTTGATGATTTGCTAGAACTCCCAGGATTCAGAAAAGCCATTACACTCCTAGTCATGATTTATTACAGTGAAAGGAAACAGATTATGATTAGCAAAAGGGAGGCAAAGTTCCTCTGCCAACTTCCCGGTGCTCCTTCCCAGCGGAATCCCATGGGGATGAGCTTCATTCTCCCAGAAACAATGTGTGACAATTTGTGTGAAGTGTGGTCCACCAGGGAAGAAGCTCAGCCGAGCTTTGGTCTCTCGAGTTTTAGTGGGGGGGTCAGTCACTAAGCATGCAGCACCCGAAGATTAACCTCAGCTACTCAGCTTTTAGCCTCCCCCTTCCCCAAGCAAAAACAGGTGTTCACCATAAATGGATCTGGTCAAACTGAGAGCATAGGCCAAGGCACAGGCTACGAAAACTCTCTTATCAGGCAGACTATTTCAAGAGCTCAGAGGTTATTTTCCAGGAACTGGCCAAAGGCAGGCCTTCCACTGGAATGCGCAGGGTTAACCCTTGCCTAACCAGTGGTGATGAGGAATAAACGAGTTAATCCCCATAGAGGAATATAAACAAGAAATAGCTATGTCCCAGGATTTTGTGATGGTAAGCCCTCAAGTTTAGAATGATGGGCATTACGAACCTATGAAATATTTTAGCTAGGTCTGAATTAGTAAGAGAAGTTCCCAGTGAAACACCACATTCTAACATTTTGTCCTTTGTCCTTTACAGAGCTCTGAAGTCAGCAAAGCAATAATCAAAGAGCAGAGCTATTTGAGGACTACAACAGTAAAGCAGGTACAAGAATGATTCTCAGTAATTAACACATAATACTCATTTAGATTGATGAATAATTCAATCTTATAGTCCTTATTATTTAAAAAAATTTTAAAAAATGCTAATTCGGTGTCTTAGAAGATGTGTGACTGTATTTTATAGATGGCTGATCATATCCTAAAGAGCAATTGATTTCTATGTATACACTAAATTAATTTTGAGAGTTTCAGGTAGGCCAGGCCTAGATAGAAATGTGAAGGAATTAAATAATAATAATAATATTTTTTATTAAATCAACACATATTCATTAAAGGCCTATTATATGGCAAACACTCATCTGTGAGGTAATTGGTGATTTTATAGAATTGAACAAAACAGGATGGCCCATTGCTGCCCTTAAGGTGCTTACAGTCTTGTGGAGGTGACATGAAATAAATAAGCAGAGATCAACATATGAAAAAAAAACTATGATAAGTGCAATGAAGAGAAATAGCAGTTTGCGGGAGAAAGTGTTGGGAGACAAGGAAGGAATCTATTGTGGACTGGCTAAACAGAGGGTATTTCTCTGGAAAGCAACATTTAAACTAAGAGTTAAAGTATGAGGCAGAGAGTCCCAGGAAGATGGAATAGCAGTGAATAAAGAAAATAATTGATAAAAGGATAATAAAGTGGCTATAGCAAAGTCACAAATGTAGAGAAAGATATAAGATGAAGATGGGTTGACAATTGGATGAAAAAGAATATGGGAACTGGCCCAGTCCCATGGGACCTCACTGGCCATGGTAAGGGGCCTTTGGACCAGGTCTGCTGGGCTACTTTCTGCGCTTGGCATTTCTGTGAATTGTCACTTAGTCTTGTCTCCTGACCCCCCTGAGTAGAGATGCTTTCAGATCTACCACCTGACCCTACCTTCCTGCATCTGCCAAAGCACTGTGGAAATGTCTTAGGATTGTACAAAGAGATTCTCAATGTGTTCACTCTTTTGAATACTAGTTCCATGACATGTACCGCATAAAAATGGTTTTGGGTCAAGAAATTTTGAAATTTTCTGAATACTGTAACACTTGCAGCAGCTTTAATATTAGAGGTTTTGAGAACCTATAATAAATAGTAAACAACCAAACATATATGTTTATGTCTATATGTATGTGTATGTGTACCGTTATTTAACCTGGTATTTCCCAAAGCTATTTTTCAGAATTGCATTAGAAAATGTTTCCAAAGGTTCTTTCTTGGAAATATGTATTTTAAGAGGTTCCTTATATTTCTGAGGCTGGTCTTCTTTTAGATAATTTGACCTATTCAGTGGCTATGCACATTAAATGATATTAGATAATTTACTGATTTACTAGAATCTAGATAATTCAAGCTAGGAAAAAAAATCTGTTTGCTTCAGTGGTTTAGCTTTTTCAGGCAGAAGATTTTTCTTGACCTGAATTATATGGTTAATTGCTTCAAATCCTGATTATACTTTTCATGTGAAAATAATATGGAGTAAGGGCTCACTAAATAATTCTCATTATCAGTATTAGTAATATTTGTTCTCTTAAATCATGCAAAGGAAAACCATAAAAAAAGGTTTGCATCTCAGCTGCTCTGAACCTTATTCCTTTCCATTGAAAATATCTTATTCTCCTTGATTTGTAAAATTCTCATAATTTAAAAAAGTCTTAAAATGAGGAAAATGACTTGGGTAGTGCCTACTTTAGCATTTAAGAATGATTTGATTTTGTATAAAATGTGGAGATTTTGTATTTATAGCAATAAAATTTCAAGGAGCCAGAATATTAGTGTTAACTTACACTTATTCTAGAAGACAGGTGCTGAGAAGCATCTGTGTTGGAAAGGGCATTGACTTTTTTATATCAATTCAGCATTTCTCAATTCAGTTAACTATTCTTAAGACAATAAGAAAAACACATGTAGAATTCCCTGGGATTTCATAACTTAGAAACAAAAAGCCTTGTTTCATCCCCAGAAAGACAAAAGACAGCTGTCCTTTAATTACTACTCTTGCAATTTGCTTTCTACTGGAGATGCCTCAAATTTGGAATCTAATTAGAAATCTTAATTGAAATGGCAGGGGAAAAAAAGAAAAAGAGAAAAAGAAAAAGAAAAGAAAGAAAAAAATTTACATGAAAATATGAAAGTACGGGTAAAAATAGAAATTGATAATATCTTAGCCAGATTGAATGAGTCGGCCTCTGGGGAACATGTTATCTGGCATGAAACTGAACTTGCTGTTTTCTCTTTCAGGAAGAATTTTCTTGACCAAATGACTAGTCTTTTAATCTTTATCAATTGTAATTTCCAGGGACTATATTTTGCTCAGGGTAGAAACAATGGTTTTAATGTTTTGAGGCCTGAGTTGAATCCCTGTTCCCTAACTTATTCCCTGTCTGATCTTGGACACATTTTCTAATCATATGCAATCTCAGTTTACCCATCTCTAAAATGGAATTTGAAATCCCATGCAACATGGTTTGTCTTCCTTGTCTTTTGACTTACACACTGACTGATATATAGTAGCAGATCTATATCTATTAGGTTTTAGAAAGGAAGGAAAGAAGAGAAAGAAGTAACAGGGAACAAAACTAAATTTGAGAATACATAAAATAATATCTAGCACAGAAGAGTGCAAATACAAAACATTCAGAAAGTGTTGGTTGATTCTGTACCCTGGAAGCAAAGACTCAAAACCAGATTCATTAATCCCTTTACTCAAACTTTTTTTTTTCTTGTAGGTATATTGGATTCTGCTCTGCAGATTGTAAACCCCATTTTAAAAGCATAGTGACATATTATTTCTGAATTACAGCACTTTGCATGCTGTTAGGCATGATAGTTGCTCAATTAATATTTGCTTAATTGAGTGAAACGGTGAATTAACAGTGCCAAGAGGATAAGCCACATTGTCCTATTTACTGGTTTACGAACACCATATCTAACATCCTAAGCAAAAGCGGTTGTCCTCCCTATGAATGAGTTCAGTGATAATGCAACCCCTTCCTGCTGCTTCTCCATGCACTCTGCTCCCATCAGATTAGCCAATTTCCTGTTGCTTATGCATATTCTACATTTGTAGCTTTTTGTCTTTGCCTTCATCACCTTTATTTTCAATATTTTCTTCTTTTTTGTCTTTCATTCTTGCTTTCTTCTTTAACCACTCTTTTCCCTCCCTTTTATCTAAGCCCACATTTTTGATGTACAAATTTCTCAAAGTCCAATTAAATATCATCACTGTGAAGCAGTCCCAGGTATCTCCTGAGATAACTATCTTAGCCCCCATTTTGTTTGATTGATTGATTGGTTGGTTGGTTGGTTGTTTTCAGGCACTATCCCTTATTCCCCATCTGTGGAAAGTAACTCTGACACAGAGCCAGTGAAAGCTCAGCTGCATATGTTAATGGCTCTTTTCTTCCATTCTCTACTCCATCCTGTTTCCTTTTACCAAAAAACTCACCAAAGGAGTGAACTTCTGGCAGAGTTTACTGCTTGCTTCCACACTGGTGTCTGGGCTACTGGTGAGATGAATTTAGGCCATGAGTACCAGGCTGCAGTCACATCAGCTGTCTGAGTTTGGTTAGATTTCTGAATGTGTCCTTAGTTCTGGCTGCCATGTCCTCAGAGTCTGGAGTCTGGCTCAACACCCAGGGGTCTAGGTGCCCTGATTCCCAGGACACCTCTCTGTGTCCCGCTCCCGCCAGCCTTATCTTACTTTGGGTAGCCCTTCCTCATTTATAATTTGGACACACACATGAGGCTGAGTACTGCCCCTCCACAAAAACCCATTCTACTGCTTCCCCATCCCTCACCCCAAACTCAAGGGAGTCCTTATTTATTGATGCCCATTCAGATCAAACTTGAGTTTATCAATTAATTCTTGGTAATTGGACTCTTGGTCCCTATAAATCAATACTTTATTCCCAGTTCCTTCTTCTTACTCCTTTGCAGAACAGATTCTTTTTTGCTTCCTTTCATGGTTCTTCATTCCTCTTGATTGAATTCACATTTATTATTATTATAGCATTCCACTTGTACCTCTCATAGTCCATTTTCCACTTTTCTAGCCATGTGAGTAATAGTAAATATTAATACTAATAATTCTAGTAACATTTATTGACTACTTGCTATATCTTCTAATCTCTTTTTGTTTGTTTTATATTTACTATTTAAAAATCTACACAGTAAAATTCATGCTTTCTGGTGTACAGTTCTAGACATTTTGACAAACATGAATAGTCATGTACTCACCACCACAATTAAGATACAGAACACTTAACCTCAAAATCTTCTGTCTTCTACCCCTTTATGGTCAGCCTCTCCTGCCCACCTCCAACCATTAGAAATCACTGATCTGTATTCTGTTTCTATAATTTACGTTTTCCAGAATGCCATGTAAACTGAATTATACACTATGTAGCCCTTTGAATCTGGTTTCTTTCACTTACTGTAATGTGCCTAAGATTCATCTAAGTTTTGTGAGTATCAGTGATGCATTGCTTTTTATTGCTGAGTAATATTCCATCTTATGGACATACTTTAAGGTGATTATAAATTCATCATTTGAAGAAATTTTGAGTGATTTTGAATTTTTAGTTAAAAAAACATTAAAAACAAGTTTTTGTGTGACCATAAATTCTATTTCTTTTGGGGGAAATAAACAGGAACAAGACTGCTGGGTGATTTGGTAGGTGTATGTTTAACTTTATAAGAAACTGACAGATTTTTTTTCTTAAGTAGGGATACTATTTTACCTTCCTATGATCAATGTACAAGAATTCCAATTGGTTCACATCCTTGTCAAAGATTGGCTTGCCAATTTAAAAAATATTAATTATAGCCATTCTAATAGGTATATAGTAATAGCTCATTGTGATTTTAATTTTTTTTTTTTCTAAAGGTCTAATGGTCTAAAGATCAGTTAGGGAGAACTGATATCTTAATAACAATAAATCTTTCACTTCACGAGCATTCTATATATATTCATTTAATAAATAGATAAATGTAATAAATAAATA